ATGTATTTAGTTTCCAAAAACAGAAGCAGGGGAACATACAACAATATGGTATAATACAATATATGGTACAGATTATCAAAACAAGAATAACTGATTAACAATCATTGACATATCTATTTTTATTGTCAAATCTATTGGTGAGATTAACAGATATACAAGATAGGACATATGTTTGAGAACTACTGCTTGCTTTCAAGAAAGATTAAATTTTTGTTCTTGTCTCTTTTTTAATCCAAATCATTTTTATTGAAAATATTAATTGTACATATTAACTGAATTAGTGTGTCATTTTAGTATATGTACTGATATACAACATTCACTGATCACATTCACTTTCCTTTCACGACCTTCTCCCTTCTCAACCTATAATAATCGCTCTCCTATATTCAATTTCATTTTTCTTAAACTTCTATAAGAGAGCATATTTTCAGTACCTCAAATCAAACTCACGACCTTGCTCCTGCCAGGAAGGTGATGTGCAGCTGAACTACATTCCCAGCTTAAACTTCTCTATGAAAGACAATACTTAGTATTTGTCTTTTGGCATCTTCCTTCTTTGATGTAACATAATAACGCCCAGACCCATCCTTGCTGCAAACAATATGGCTCAATTTTTATGGCAGAATATTGAATAAATCTTTCATTTTTTTCTATTCCTCAAATGACTGGCACCAATTAGACCTAATACTTTAGCTATTGTGGATAGTGTGCTCACTATATCTCTTTGGCTATATACCCAAAAGTAGGATTTTGGATCAAAAGGCAGAAATTCGTAAGTGAAGCTGTCTGTGCCTCGGGTATCCATGACGAACCACTGTTGGTTCTGACTTTGGCAGGGCCCCATGAGAAATATGTACAGCTCCGAGAGCTGATACCATGACGACCTGACCATGGCCTGTGGGCCTGTGATAGTACAGTTTTCTCCCTTGTTTCCCGTGAAGCCACCAAGACATGCTGGCTGTTCTGCTAATAGATTAGATATTCTTCCTGTCCCAGAGTCTACCTTCCCTTTAAACTCTCCATGAATTTATTCATAGGCTGATTGTATAAAGAAATGTGCTGCAAGTGCTGGGCAGTAGTTTGCTTTCCCGATCAGGAAATAAGGCTCCACCTGACTGCAGCTTTTGTATATCGATTCCTGTCTTTCTTCTCTCCCACCACAATCCCTCCAAAGTTTCAAAGGCTTGGGCTGGTGAGATGGCTCAGTGGTCTAAAGTACCTACTTAGAACAAGCTTAGCAAAGCACAGGGACCG